CTGGGAGTTGAAGTCCACAGATCTTAAAGTTGTCAAGGTTGAGAAACACTGATCTAGAAGGTACCAGATTGGGGGAAGGTATGTTTTGCACCATTTGGATCCAGAGCAGGAAAGGTGCTGTGGAATTTGGCGTCAGTGCACTTCATTTACCTGTCGGTGGTTTCTTCAAGACACCTGGTGCACAGTCCCAGGAAAAATTGTGTTCAAATTAAGGAGGTATTAAGGGAGGTAGTAAGCCCAGGAAAAGGAGCAGTTGCTGATAGGTACAATGAACATTTCCATGCTCGATCTGGAGCACTTTTCCTGTTTTAGTTATGAAGAGTGCATCATCTTATGTTTTTGGAGGAATACTTGGCCATCAGTATAGCGGTAAAACAATTGTAGATATTTTTCCTTGCATCCTCAGATGCGTCGCTCAAGGGAACTATGTTTGGCTGTTGGGTCCCACTAGAGAGCTCTTGCAATTTGCAAAATGTTCAAGACGTTGAGTACATTTTTTTTTCCTTTCTATCATTCAAGGTAAAAACACAAGCTAAGGCCTTGGTCTTGCTATCAGTTTGACAAGCTACTCGACATTCATCTGCCAGAGTTATGGCACTCCCTTTCCGGAAAGACTTGGACAAATACAAGGAACTTGATGAAGATGAAATCTTGGGCAAGTTGACTGAAGAAGAACTGAAGCAACTGGAAACCGTCCTGGATGACCTTGATCCAGAGGTGCATACATATGGCCCTAATGTTTTGTTAGCTTTTCCATAGCTTGCTGATGCTGCTATAACAAGGTTGTTCTGTAAGGCAGGGAACCTTGTGGTGTCTCAGCTATGGTGGAACTACAACTCCCAGCATTTCTCACCGTTGCCCATGTTATCTGTTGGGAGCTATGGTTCAGCAACATCTGGAGGTCCATCTGAAAACTCAGTTAAATTTAATTTAGCTTCTTGTCATCCTTCAGGGAAGGCAGCTTATTCTGTTTGATGAAATGTTTGTTTGTTTGTTTTAGCATGGGGGGTGCATATGTGTGTCCATTTAATTTGTCTAAATCTGCTTGTGGGCTTTCCAAAGGCATCTTTCTTGCCACTCTGGGAAACTCTACACTGGAAGTGACAGACTGTTGTTCTCTTTGAGCAAGGCTGCTTTCGTGTTCTACAATCTGTGTTTGTTTTGCTTCCTGTCCCAGAATGGGGAACTTTTTTTCCTGTCTGACAGCATAGGGGATGGTATCTTTTGGGGATAGTGTATTAATGTATGTAAGCAGATTAATGGAAAAATATTTAACCGTTAAAGGTCTTAATGTGTTTTAGATGTATTTATAGTTTTAATGTTTTTTGGAAGTTGCCCAGAGTCCCCTATTGTGGGGGAGATGGGCGGCGGAGAAATCCAATAAAATAAATAAATAAATAATGTAATGTTGAACAATATACCAAAGCTTTGGAATTTGACTGTTTATCAGGAAATTAGGAATGTGATATTATTCCAGATGTCAAGGAATGGTTGTTGAAAATCTGTGATCTATCCCTTTTGGAACATGCAGTCTTTTCAACTAATCAAAGAATGCAGCCATATGTATTATTATTGCAGCGATTTTGTGATATTTTACAATAATGTTTTGTACGGTTAATATTATGGTAGTGAATTCATCAGTAAACCAGTGACCATTGATAAATATAAAATATAAGGTAGATCTTTTCTTTCTTAGTTTGTATTTTTAGTTTGCTTGGAGTTGTCTCTTTTCTATTTCTTTTTTAAGATTAGAGATTGTTAATTGTGTGTGCATAAAAAAAACTCTAGAGGGAATTTGCAGGGTCAGAGCCAATGTGGTGGATCTCCCTACTTGTCCCCTTGCTCTTTGATCCCTTCTCTCTCTCTCCCACTCTTTTTTTTTCTTTTTCATTTTTTCTGTCTCCCTCTTTCTCTTTTTAGGAGACTGCTGAGCAACAAGGCCCCAGACTGAAAGGATTTGCTTGAAAGCGGCTGGGGGCAGGGGGATAAGAAAGAAGGCTAAGGACTCATTTGATGATAGAGAATGTTTTTCATCTTCCAGGAATGGCATTACATCTCTGTTGACCTGTCAGTGAAAGCAGGTCGAACATGTTTCCTATGTACAAAAGCCTCTTATTTTGATTCATTCTCAGGACATGTTCGGGGCTTTATATTGAACCCCCTCAGTGTAAAGGTTGTCATTTGGTTTGATGTCTGTGCGAGTGCAAGAGGATTCACCTGCTCCTTTCATTTTGCAGAACGCACTGTTGCCAGCAGGTTTCCGGCAAAAGGACCAGACTTTGAAAAAACCCTGTGGGCCTTTTGACCGAGAGAAGCTTCTTGCATTTTTGGAGAAACAAGCACTGGATCATAAAGATGTTGAGGATGTTGTGCCTTACACGGGAGAAAAGAAAGGTAATTGCTGCCACTGAGCAACTTGGCTTGTCCATGCTCCAATTTCTTTCTCTCTACCCCCACTCACAGACTGGATTCCTATATCATGTTGAACTATTTTGTGTTTATTAAGCCATCATCAGCTGGATGTAGCGCCCCATAGTGAGCCATCAACCATAATTAATAAGCCACAGTGGCTGAGTTCCCTCATAATTACACTTAACATACCATTATAGCTTAGTACAAAGTGTGAACGCTTATTTCATGTATATGTTGCCTTTCCTCTGTGAGTACCAGGCAGGATACATCCACCTCCAGTTTACTCCCACAACAACAGCCCTGTGAAGTAGGTTAGGCTGAGAGAATCCATGAGAGTCCGTCCCTCCACAGATGAGTGAACTCCCCATCCAGTCCAATCCCTTAGCTCCTGTGGTTGGGAAAAGCTGTACTAGGGAGTAAGCCCCATGGGTTCTGAACAGGCATGCATTGGGTTGTGGTAATAGGTGTGTAAAGTGTGTACAACAGGCTTCCTTGGAGTTTAAAAAGAGGGCAGGCAAAAGACACCATCTTTCCAAAAGATCAAACCCTTTTTTTAAAATCCATCATTGCTATACAGTAGCTTGATAGTTTTCTCCTCCTGTTCCAGTTTGGGTGAAAGGAACAATGAGTCACTGTAGTCTGCAAAGGGAGCTGATGTAACAGAGTTTCCTTTCACAAGATGACATTTATGATGTAAATTTCATTGAAGTGACAAGGGCAGCTTTGTGGCTAGGGGTCTGTGAATTCTCAAAGGTTGTGTGAAAAACTGGCCTGATACCCCAGTCAGATTCTGCTGGTCTGGGTAATACTAGCTTAGATGGACCAGTACTAGCTTAGATTCAACAGAAAGCAGCTTCCTGTGTTCCTCTGATACTGCAGCTTTTAGATAGGTAAGGTAGTCCTATGATGCAACTGGTCTGAGGCAGCTTAATTGCTCCCAAAGCAATACAGGAGATTTGATGTGGCCTGTGATGATGGATGGATATGGATGGAACTGCCTTGCTTAATTGTTTGTCATTAAGGGTGTGCCCAGACTCGCCTAGAATGTAAATGGATAAGTGGCTGCTGTTGACATCAGTGTAGTAGTACCCTGGGTCCCAAAATAATATTTGCTTTGTTCCATAGCTCCAGCCAATCCCTTGTGAACTAACCTTGAGATCACCTTTCTCCACCCTGGTGTGCTCCAGAGGTGTTGAGTTCAATTCTCATAATTCCATGGCCAATCAACACATCAGGAAGGCACTGTTGGATGCCACCATGTTGGTCCATGATCCTCAGGCCCCAACATCCATTTGGGGAGAGGGGGAAGGGTTCATCTCTGTTTAGTGAAGCTCCTTTAGTATCTCTAGCTCAAGGCTTGTGATCTTTCTTAAGAGTAAAGAAGAAAATATTTTAGGAATATTGCAAAGTTTATACAGGTAGTGCCTAGTTTAAGAACGAATTCTGTTCCCAAGGTCTGTCCTTAAGTTGAATTTGTATGTAAGCCAGAACAGTATTATACTATATAAGTAGAATTGTGTAATTAACTCAAATCGTTGTGTATTTAACTCAAATTTTGCTACAATAGGCTCCATTCTTAACTATGGGTCATTCTTAAACTGGGCGTTCCTGACCCAAGGACTACCTGTATGTTCATGCTTATAAGATGGGATGGAGGACCTATAAGCTTGCAGAAGATTTAAACTACAGTTCCCATCCTTAATCACTCGACATATTGGCTGGAACCGGTGGGCCCAATAATAAATAGAGAATTGCTGGTTCATTATCTCAACTATTCAGTCTAGCTAAACCATGAATTGGGCTCATTGTTGTTGAATTTTATTTCATTTCCTCCTTATTTCTGTTTAGGTGAATAATATGATTTGATTTATGCTTAGCATGTTGCATGAAACCAGCTAACTGAGGTTTGTAAGACATGGTTTCTGACTTAACATATGGAACAAGCTAGAACAGCTTGTTTAGTAAACCCTAATTAGTGCAAGGGGGAGCCCTGCTGCTTAATACTTTGAATATCACGCTCTCTTCGTTGTCTTGATGCCATTCATTGCATTCAGGCGATCATCAGTGCATAAGCATTGGGGCAGACTTGATGCATTTTCCTGGTTTTCAAAACAAGCAAAACCGGTTCTTGCTTCTCTGAGCAGCTTCCTCAGTAAATAAATGTAGGGTTCCCAAATCATCATCAGAACTTCCATGGCTTTTATGAACGCATGTGCAGATGTGTTCTCTGGGCAATGTTTGTGTTGGTTATGCGTCAAGAAGGAAGAATCTGCAAGAGCTTTTTGGTCTTCTGCCAGCTGTTAAGTCATTATTTCCAAAGGCCTTAGAGAGGGTTTTTTTTCACCCCTGGAATGAGCAAACAATGAGCTTAAGATTTTTCTTTTAAGTATTTGCTCATTACCTGGAAAGAAATCTTAACTTTTCTCTGAAGACAAGCAGAGGTGAGGCCCAAACAAGAGGAATCTTGTTAGCTTTGGAAAAACAAACTTGTGTTTCAGGTACACCCCCTTCTACAGAGGGAGCAGCTAAATCCCATCCTCAGGAGCTTGATCACAGCATCTGGAAGAGAAGAATAGCTCAGCTTGCGTTTAAATATGGTTCAAATGAGGGTAGCCCTGTGGTGTCTGGTTCAGTTGGAAGCAAGTCCTCCAATCTCTGAAGTTGCTCCCAAGTAGAGCTGACAAAATATTTTACTATTCTAGATTTAAAAAATAATAAAAGTTTACTATTGCTAATAGTATTTGGGGTCAGTAGAATAGTTATTTCTGAGTATAGATGATTAGTGGAGCAATAATAGGGAAAGTTTGCTTTGTTCTAGAGCAGTTTCTCAATCTCAGCGAGTTTAAGATGCGTGGACTTCAACTCCCAGAATTCCTCAGCCAGCATGCTTCCTCA